AAAAAAAAAAAAAAAAAAGAGTCTACAGTACAGATCACAGGTCTGGGTCTCAGCCCCTGCTGTGGGCACAATGTTTGTGAACCTGAACAACTGTGGGGTTTTGAAATTGGAGAATTAAAGGCAGCAAGCATGGCAGTAGACTATGGCTGAGGCAGGGGGATGGGTATGAAATTACCCAGAGTTGGAGGGAAAGATGTGCTGAACCCAGAAATGAAGGGAATAAAATGGGAGAGGAGCCTGCTACAAAAGAGGGCCCTGCGGTTGGGAGCTTAATTTGCATACAGACAATTGATGCTAATTGCAAATCATTCTTATCTACTCATTAAAGCTGCTTCCTGAAGTTTTCTCCTAGGCAACCAGGCTTTAGTGTGGCAGAGCATTTCCCAAAATGGGGTGCTTGAGGTGATCTGGGTGGTACAGGGAGGAAAATGTTTTATTTTTAATGGATATCTGCTTGCTTTAATGAGTATTAGGAAAAAGTGTTTCCAACTTGTCCTCTGATTTTACGGATACTGCTTCAAACAAGTTAAGGAAAATAGAAGCTGATTTAAAGAAATGTTATTCATGGTAGATGAGCGCTGACCTCAGAGTTAGCCCACCTGGTTTAAGCCCACTTTTTGCCAGTCTTGGCTATGTGACCCTGGGCGAGTGACTGAACCTCTTTGGGCCTCAGTTTCCTCATCTGTGAAATTGGGGATGAATCACATGCCTACCTCATAGGAATGTGATGAGGATTAAAGGAGCTCTTACAACAGCTGGGAGGGGTGTTACTTTAAAAGGGCCAAGTCCAATGGCTTATTAATTAATCCTAGTACTTTGGGAAGCTGAGGAAGGAGAGGAAGCAGGAAGATTGCTTGAGCCTAGGAGTTCAATACCAGCCTGAGTAATCACAAGACCCAGATTTTACCCAAAAAAAAAAAAAAAAAATAGAAAAATTAGCCTAGCATGGTAGTGTGTGCCTTTAGTCTCAACCACTTGGGAGGCTGAGGCAGGAGGATCGATTGAGCTAGGAATTCAAGGCTGCAGTGAGCTACGATGATGCCACTGCCCTCCAGCCCAGGTGATAGAGTGAGACCTAGACTCAAACAAAACAAAACAAAACAAAACAGAGGGCTTGCGTCAGACTCATTAAATAAGAATGTGTCCCCTGGGTTAAGCTCTGTGTATTATAGAAAGTGCGGGGGACACAGCAGCAGTGACTGAGATAGTAGGTAGGCCTGCCCTCTAAGGGCTCAAAATCCATTTGAGGAGATGGCCCAGAGGGACTAGGATGGAAATCCAAAGGAGGCACTGACCCAACTGTGGCAGGGCTTTGCTGGAGAATAAGTCTGAGCTAGTCAGGGGGGTGGGCAGGCAGATTGTTGGAGACAGAATGTGAGGGTCCAGCCTCAGTCTCACTCCCATCTCACTCCAGGGGCCCTCCCACAGTCATCCCATATCAATAGGCACAAGTTCCTAGACAGTCTGTGAGTCACCAATAGGCCACATGTTTTTCTGCCTCCCATCATGGCTTGCCTGTCACTGGCTACATCGCCTCTTCCACCCAGTAGTCCACTGTCCTATCATTCTTCTACGTCTGCTCTCTGTTCCCCTAGGCTTAACTGGAATGCCAACTGGGGCTCTTCGAAGGCAGGTGCCTTTGTCTGAGCATGATGTATATGACCCTACCACTCTGAGAGGCTGAGGTGGGCAGATTGCTTGAGCTCAGGAGTTGGAGACCAGCCTGAGAAAGAGGAAGCCCCCATCTCTACCAAAATTAGGAAAGAGCAGCCGAGCATCATGGCACACACCTGTAGTCCCAGCTACTGGGGAAACTGGGGCAGAAGGATCTCTGGAGCCCAAGAGTTTGAAGTTGCAGTGAGCTATGATCATACTATGGTACTTTAGCTGGGAAGACAGAGTAAGACTCTGTTTCATAAAAAAGAAAAATAGAAGGGAAGGATGGGTTGTAGAGAGGGTACAACACAAAAGAGGGGGCCGCGTGTACGAAGGCTCTTCTGGGGGGAGGAGGGAGGACTGTTGACCTATCACTCAACACAGGCCCCTTGGCGCAAATTTCAAAGTTGGAGGGGCAGCTGATGAGAGGCTGAGGGAATCAGCTGATGGGAGGCTAGGGAGGGGAACAGGGTCCTGGAGTTTGGACTTGATCCTAAGAGCAGTGGAAAGCAAGAGAAAGTTTCAGTGGAGAGAGTGATATAGGCAAGTTTATGTTTTGAGAGATGGTGCCAGCAGCCAGAGAGGAAGTAAAGTCTCAGGGAGGGAGCCGAGGCCAAAGAGCTGAATGAGAAGGATGTGGGCCTGATGGGAAGGCCCAGCAGCTTGAGATGTGGCAACAGGTGGCATTGCCAAGATGTGAGGGAGAGGGAGACTCAGGTCCTAGGCAGAGCCACGAGCTGTGCTGGGGTGCAGGCAGGCACACTGCCCAGGGTAGGAGCTACTGTGGACCAGGAGCACTGGGGTGCCCTGTGAGTAGAGGAGGTGGGGCTGGACCTCCATGTGCCAGGTGCTGTTCCAGACAGTATGGTACAGCAGGCAACAAAGTAGAGTCCCTGCTTCTGGGACTGACATTCTCCAAGGGACAGAACTGAACTCCCACCCAGAGTGCCTGCAACCATGGTGTTGGAAGAAGAGCCAAGC